GACGCTAGGATAATAGAAAATATTGATCTTGTCCACAAGCGAGGCAAAGACAACTTGGATAGAACATTGCTTTGCATTAGAGAGGACTACATCATTAACAGAAGAGAATTTTGTATTTCTACGTTTCTCGAGCATCAAAATATATATACAAATTAATTTAGACGCTAGGATAATAGAAAGTATTGATCTTGTCCACAAGCGAGGCAAAGGCAACTTGGTGAGTACATTGCTTTACATTAGAGGTGACTGCAACATTAACAGAACAAATTTTTTTTATTTTTACGCTTCTCGAACATCAAAATACGGAATAAAATTTAATCGCTAGGATAATGGACATGATGCATTCCATCATCTTAATTTTATGTACAAGTGAGGCAGAGCAATAAAATCATAACGCTGCATTATGGTACACTGACCTCGGAACTGTTTTTGGGAATATAAAACTTACCTTAGCGGCGTTGATAAGTTCATCAGCCAAGCATTCGGCGATGGTCTTGATGTTCCTGAAAGCAGCTTCACGGGCACCAGTGCACAACAACCAGATAGCCTAGGAAAACAAGAATTTTTTCTCAATTCTATAATCAATAGTCGCTGTTTAATTCAATTGTCTAAAAAGATTGTATTAAAGCAACTCCAGATTGTAAAATTGCCGTTTCAAAATATCTTACATTTTGTTCTAGTCCAGAAGCATAACTCAAGTTTTATAAATAAATAAAAGAGTAATAANCCGCTATGGATATTTAAAGAACAGTTTTATATAGCCTAGGGTTATAGCCTTCCAAAAGTGATGCAATAGTTTGTAAGGTATTGTCCTAGGCTGCAAATTAAATGCGGATATACATTTTAGAAACTTACCTGGTTCACACGACGCAAGGGCGACACATCGACGGCTTGTCGGCGCACAGTACCAGCACGCCCAATACGTGTCGAATCTTCACGGGGTCCAGAGTTGATGATAGCGCTCACTAGAATCTAAATACAAAAACATTATTCATGCATTTATTTACAAGTTAGTACAAATGATTGTAAAATACTCTTGAAGGGAAATATTATACAAAATATTCACAGTAATAAGAGTAGTTTTTTTGCTATGTGTCCTCATTCTACCTGATTGAAGAGGTATTTGTTTTTCTCTACAACAGTTTAGCATGGGACATGTCATTTCTTAATTAAAATTACTTATTTAGACATTTACCTGTAGTGGGTTTTCACCTGTCAACAGGTGGATAATTTCGAAGGAGTGTTTTACAATACGGCAAGCCATCAGCTTCTTGCCGTTGTTACGACCCTTCATCATCAGAGAGTTGGTTAGACGCTCCACAATAGGGCACTGAGCCTTGCGGAAACGCTTGGCAGCATAACGACCAGCAGAGTGTGGCAAATAGCGAGCGAACTTCTCCTTGACCGAAATGTAATCCTGCAGTGAGATATCATTTACGGTGACATCGTCGCATGACCAACGCCCGAAAAGTTTAATTTCAGGCAATTCCGTTGTGGCAACAATATTTGTTTCTAATAGAGTCTCAGCGCCCTCAGTTTCAATTGGTGGTTGTTCGTCGAAGCTCTCGACAACAACTTCTTCAACCTCAGCCATTCTGAAAAAGTAAACAACTTGATTAATACATATTCTATTTATGTCAATCGTCCCATCTTCGATGTAGGGAAATGTTGGTTTTAAACTTTATTAAGGACTATATCTTTAAGCCGATAT